ATATAATATCATAGGATCGCTATGAACAAAATTGTTGTTGTTTTCAATGCAAATTTTAAAATTGAATGTGAGAAAAAAAACAATATGTCGGTTCAAATTTGGTCATGAGAGCCGATACTATATGTGCCTCGTCACTTAGACAAGGTTGTGTTATTGATAAATGCCAACATTTGTGCCTTTTGGAAGCAAATTTTGACAATTTCTATGACACTCCACATAACGTACATATTTGTCATAACCCAAAAGAGCCAATTTTGACGAGCCCATGACACTCTACATACCTCTACATAACATGACAAATATTTGTGTTATTGAAAATATAAACGTAAATACAAAAATCTTGTCATGTCTAGCCAGTGTAGATGGCGAGTAAGAACTTAAATTTAAGTTAATTCAAAAATGTAAATCTTTTGTAATTTAAACTGAAATTTTTTAAAACTCATTCTACATCTAAATAATATATTACATTTTTTAATGATTACATATTTAACAATATGGGTTCTTTAAAAAGAATTTAAATTTATTTATTAAACCTATATATTTTTTATTTAATTTACATTAATTTGATTCAAAACCAATAACAATTAACTTTGTGTGTTCTTTATTTAAAATATACATTTTTGAATAAAGTAAATACATTTCAATAAAAACTCTTGGAATAATAAAAGAAAAAATATATATACACATTAAATTCTGTTTTCTTATATATCAATATGTGAAATTATTAATAAAATGAATTCATCTCAAACAGAGCTTAAAATTGTTGTTCGAAGAAATGTCTTAAGTTTGACTAAGTTTAAGTCTTAGAGTTTGACAAAAAATTTTTTTATTAAAGATAAAACAAAATTCGAAAACATATTTATTCCTCTAGTCACATAACAATTTTAAATTTAATAATGATTTTAAATGTTTGCCATATTGTGTATTATTAGCGTTGAACATAATTATCTCCAAATATGCACCATCATAAAGGATGTGTTTATTTACTTACAACATAACATCATTAAAATTTATTTAAACACTAAGTCAAGTCAAGTAAGACAAAGCTATGAGAGACTTTGCTAAAAGCGCCATAATTTGTTCATTAGTTGCACAAATTAAATGCTCCTCAGCATCGCCAGTGCAACTAGTTTTTTTATTGTTTATTGATTGTTTCAAATATTTTATGTTAATGTATGAGTTAATTGTGTTCAATGCAATATTATGAATATATATATTTGTATAAATTGGAATTACGAGTTATTTACTCAAACATTTCTTTCATTTACACTTTTTACTATTATTGTTTGCTTTAACAATTTAATAAGATTAGACGATCATATCAGATCAGATCAGATAAAATGAAGTATGGTTACGAACACAGATACTATCAGTTGCCGTATTTATCTTGAATTGAACTCATCACATTTACAGCTAATGAACTCAAACGATCGGCTACTTTGTGTACTCCTTGTCGTACGCTCTCTTTAACATCATCCAAATCAGGTGCTTGGAAGTTTACTCCAGTATTATAACCTACAAAAAAATTTAGATATTATTTTTTGTGAATTTAATTAATGAGTTTAGCTTACCCCTGGAACCACGATTTAACTGACTACTACCATCGCTAAAGTAATCTGACGATGAAATGCTGTTCGATCCCTGAAACCTTGACAAATTTGTGGATACATCAGCTTCAACTTTATCATTTCCAAAGAATTGATCGGAACCGAATCCTTTTGCACTTCCAAACTTCTTTTGTGCAGCATTATCGTCATCAGGGGTACTTTTATTTTTAGTATGTGGTTTACGTGAATAGCTTGTATCATATCCTGCTAAAGCAGGTTTAGCTGACTTATTCATATTCAATTTAACATCGTTATCTGGAGTTGAAAACATGGAAGAAATGTTGGAATGATGTGATTCTATTGTCTCAAAGCCCATAATTTCCAATTCCTGTTTATCTAATTTGGAAGTGGGAGATGTACTGTTACCACTTCCGCTGTACATTGATGGACTATAATCATTAAAGAAATTGTCACTCTCGAATCCGGATAATTTTGGTTGGGTTACAGTTTTAGGAGCTGCTGCCTGTTGTATGGTTTCCATGTCACTAATAGCTGAATGGGATATATCATTGCTGTAAAGAAAAATTTAATAATATAATGAAATTAATAAAATAATTCAAACTTTTAACAATATTTATATATCGAAACAAATTCAAGTGGTAGATTGTATTTTTAAATTGAAGCTAAAATTTAAATATTGCAAGTGGAAAAATACTGTAAAGGTTTTAAAATCGATCACAGTAAAGCATTTGACTAAAATAGAATTTGAAACTTTAAAATCGCCATCCGCTAACATATAAGAAGTTTCAAATCAGTTTGAATCCAATTGGTCTTTGGCTCCGTTCCATTAAACTTGTTACATTTTTCTAGCAAATATTATTTCAAGTTAATTTCAATCAAAATCCTACCCATTCCTAATACACTCTTATTTCCAAACAATTCCTTTTCTTTTCACATTTCCTTTACCCAAGTATATCCTAACCTGCTTTAATTAAAATCCTACCAATCCCTTATCCACTCATGTTCCCAAATAATACCCTTCGCTTTCACACGTCCTGTACCCAAGTATATCATAACTTTAACTATGTGTTCGAATTTATAATTACTTTCTTTTTATCTACTATATAGATCACTACGAGTAATAACAACGATTCGGAGCTATTTGTCAATCAAGACGATCATGCGCTATTCACTACTGCCATCAAAGACTATACCACCATGTGTTATGGTGGACAAGATCTATGTGTTAAATTTTTGTTGCTTTAGTCTTTATTTGTTTATTGTCAAATCTAAATACATATTCTACAATTTTTTTCAAATAATGTTAACGCACCATAACATTCTTATATATCTTTTAATATTACAAGATCAAACAAAACTATAACTATATCTTGTTAGACTCAAATCTGCAACTACTGTTTCTTCTACACATCTAAGTCTCTCGCAATAGCGGTTTAAAGTTTCAGCATTTATCCAAATTTTTTAGAAGATACTAATTTTGTCTCTATAGTAAACTTGTTATAGAGGGGTTTTGAATAGTAGTGAACCACTACAACAAAAATTCTTTTTATATTATTTTCAATAATTGAATTTTTGGCTGACAATGCAGCTGTTTCGAGTATTGCCAAATATCCATCATCAGTGGTCTTGGAATTATGTGTCTTATATTTAATTATTCGTAAAAATTTTTTTTGACACTGCAAGTACCAAGGGTGAACGCATGCCCTGCCAAATTTAAAGCTCAGAGTCAGTGTTCATTAGCCAACTGATCCAAAGTCGTACTTGAGTTGTATGTTCTGAGTAGGAGTTTTGTTAATTTGCTGTTAAAGTTAAACTTATTATAAATCACTAGATAAAACATTTTTGCGTTAGACATCCTTTCTTGAATTCCTTTCCTTTTCTTTTTTTCAACCTTGTACATCCTTTCCCAAATTATCGTCCTATCAAACGAAAGAATTTTTCAAATATTTCTTTTAAAAAATCTTTCAAATCTTTTAAAATCTTTTATCTTTTAAAAAATTGCTGCTTTTTATAAGAGTGGAATAGATAAATAAAAATATATATTTATTTATAAATTTATTTACTATTTGTAGATAGCAAGTTCCTGAAGAAACAAAATTCATACCTCTTATATTAAACAATTTCTTAGAAACCTATTAAAATCTCAATTTAAATGCAACACATTGTAAAAAGAGACCAGGATGTCTAGAAGAAAAACGAGTTAAGTACTTGAGCTCAAACCCCTAAACTCAGTCGATGAAAAATCAAAACAGGGAATTCAGAGTCGCACAATATAATCAAAATCCTTTTTTCCCCATTTTGTACTGAAGCGGTACGCCTTTTAATTTTTCAATACAATACAACTTAAGAAAATCACAAAAAAATCTATAACCCAATATACAGAATGCACAATGTACGGAAGTTACATATATTTATAAGATTTACAAAATTAAATAAATATATTTGTTTATTTAATGTATAATTTGTAGACTTACCCTCGTAAATTGAATCCCATACCTAAACGTTCCATTTGTTTTGCTTTTACCGGATCCACGGTTTTTAGTTTGGCTTCTTCACGCGTTCGTTGTACTGATAGATCTTGATAAGCTAACCGCATACTAGCTACAGATTCTAACTCTTCCTGTTCAGTACGTGGTTTTTCAGCAACAACGTTTGCTTCTCTGCACTGATCAGCAAGATTTGCGCGATGTTCTATTTCCGCAAAGTTAGCTTTGACTTTTGTAGCGCCTAAACCACCAGCTTTACGTGCTCCCAACTAAAATTAGAATAAATTAATCAAAAACTATATATAAATATGATTTATTCACATACACCAGATTTTTTTGGTTGTATTTTGCGCACACCAATGGTTGGCTTTGAAGCTGCTGACACAGCTGAGTTCAACAAATCTATACTGGGCGCGCCTGATACAGCTGGTGATAATTTTTCAGCGGCGGTTGCTGTAGGTTCTTTCAAGTCCAACTATTTTTACATTAAAATAAATTTATTAGTGAACGTTTTTTTTATTTTAAATAATTTTATATATTATACAATAAATTAATATTTTTTAATTTTTTAAAATGGATAAGCAAATAATTAACTTTAAAAGACATGCCAGGAGCAGAAAGCACTTACCTTTTGCGATAAATTAGATTCGCTATTATTGTTATTAAAAAAGGAATCCTTATTATTGTCATTACTGCACTGAGCGAAGAAATCCTCTTCCTCAGCGGTTGTTTTGTTAACGTCATTGCCTTCTGCTTTATCGGTTGTGTGATCCAAATGTAGCTAAATAGAATAAAATGTTCCAACAATGCAGGGAATTCGAACAATTATTAGTTAAAAAGCCAAATAAACAAAATTAATTAATTAGTAAAATAATTAATTTAAGAACAATTAAAAGCAGTAAAAACATAAATAAAACAGGAATTTAAAAACAAATATTTAAAAAGAAATAAGTTAAATTAATTCAAAGCTGATTATTTTCTCGAACTTCCTTGAATTTTTATTTTGGCCTTTAACCTTCAATTCTATACTAAACAGAATTGAGAGCAAGGCTTCAGTACTTCGGAAAGTAGGTCATACCAGTAATAAAATAAGCACAAGTAAAATTTTTACTTTGTGCCAAACAAACACTCCTACGCATTTTGTTAGAAGAATTTGAGCATTCATTAACAAACCTTCGTTCCATGCACCTTCATGGCTTGCTGTGCCAAGGAAGCCAGTTTATCGCGGTACAACTGAGCTGCACGTGAATTGTACTTCTGCTGTGAGTCGGTGGTGACACAATTGTGTTGTCGGAAAAATTGCGCTGCATTGGCGTTTCCACCAAGCTGCATTTGTCGCAGTTGTAACCACGTCCAGTTTGTGTCCAAGTTCGTGGAGCGCACAAATGTTAAGTGCACACCCAAATTTCTATGCACTGCAGAGCAGTCAATGCATATAAAAATGCCGTACGTCACGGAAGACCACGTAGGCGTCTTCGCTGCACAATCGAAGCAAGACTGTAAACACAAATTTTATATTTATTTATATTTTATTTTTATTATATGTTTTAAAACACAAAAGAGAACAAAGCATTTCCTCTTCTCACAGTTCCTTTTGAAAATACATACTTTATTTGCTGGCTGCATTCTCAAGCGATTGAAAACAGCTTCTATTTCTTGTTTGGTTGGCCCAGCTATTGACATTTTGCAATAAAGGATTTTTAACTTTTCACGAATTAATGGCTTAAAATATTCCCCTTAATTATGCGGGAAGTGTCAAAAGTTTGCTTTTTTATTTGTTTAACTTTCACATGCAAATATTATCGACTAATCTGCTTTATTAATTTAATTTTGACGTGTTTTCTTTCTACTAATAAAAAATTACACGTTTGCTTGCTAAGGCTAGTGATGTTAATAATTACAAATAGTAATCGTGGCCACACGATATCACGTGTAATCGATAAGAGTAATCGAAATATAGTTGTCAATTTTAGTGCAACCAACACAAAAATTTTGAAAATTTAAATTTCTTTGTTTTATTTAATTATTTTTTATTTCTAATACGTTGTCATTATTTACTGCAGAAATATTACAAAATTATTAAACTTTTAGGAATATTATAATTTATAGACTTATGGAAATATTTAAAATAAATATGATATTTAAATAATACAAGAATTTTACATTTTTGACAGCTTTGGCTTTCTGACTAATATTTCCTATTTGAAAAATGGGATGCTACAGGTTAAGATATACCCAACCAGATACGTTAGAGCCATGTTATGTAAAGTGTCATGGGCTCGTCAAAATTGGCTGTTTTTGAATTTGACGAATTCTTGATTCTTCTTCTTCTTGAGTTAGTGCTATTACGCACTTTTACTCTATAATGGCTGGGGGCTTATCTCTATCCCACACTAGGCTTTAACCAGGCTAAAAATAAAAAATATATCATTTATTTGTCTTTTAGTTGATGACGGACCTTAAATCAGCATATCTTCCTGAGAGTCCAGAAGTGGACTTGAGAATTGTTAGGGCGGGGTTAATTAGCATATCAACTTTAGTGAATAATTTTAGAGCTCTGTCTCTGATATATTTTTTCACTGAGTCAATCCTAAGATCTCTATGTATGTCTGTAGATCTAATATACCATGGAATATGCACGTTATGTAGAATGTCACAGAAATTATAATAATTTGCTTCTAAATAAGGCAAATGTTGACATTTATTATTCAATAAGACTGCTTTGCCTAAGTGCCAAGGTACAGATAGCCTCCGCTCTCATAATCAAATTTGAACAGACATATTGTTTTTTCTCTTACTCTCAATTTTATAATTTGCATTGAAAACAGCAACAATTTTACTCATGACGAACATAACATAACATGGTCCTTGCAATTAATATAATCATTGCGATGCATTGGATAAAACAAATAGAGGCCATACCGTAATGTTGGTGAATTTGAAACAATTGACCGCACGGTACATAGCAGCCCTTCTTGTTAAAATGATTTGACAGTCAAAATTTATATACAGACAAAAACAGCTAATCATGGTAAAACTGATTGAAGCTGTTGGACTCTCTTATTTAAATGATTTTATTTAAAATAATGCCAATATAGAGCAAGCATAGAAAACATAGAGAGTATCTTATCGTACTGAATTTGGTGGTGTTACCTGTATTATATCAATACTACGGAATGCATGAGATTGTATCGTACCATGTCTATTTAAACTACCTGTTATATGCTTGTAGTCATGTTATGTAGAGGTCACGGTCACTTCTAACATGAAATTTTTGCTGTTTTTGATGTTAATTAAGAAGTTGACATTCAGACCCAAGGAGAAATTTTAATTAAATTTTGGTCACAGTAATAGAATTTAAGTGCAACCAAAAATGGTGAATATAGTAGTACCACTTTGAAATTGACAACTGTGATTAACTCTTTGCATAACACACCTTTACGGTCATGACGAGAAAGAACATACGTAAAATTACCGTTACCATACGTTATATGACTTAGTATAACAAGGCACTTATATTTAAAATCATCATTTTAAATAATACTCTGAAAGATATCGGCAACATCAAAACCATTGTGATATATAGCAATGCACATAATTCTAAAGTCTGGTACTTGGTATCAAATATTATACGGTTTAAATGCCGTATAATTATTATTTATCGGACAACATAAGGCGCATAGTTCTATGAAGACCGCGAAATAAGAGAAAACCGATATGTACAGACTAAATCAAAAATGAATTATTGTACCGTAAACGATAAGGTGATCCGTTCTAACTCATAGAAACCAGAAAAGCATAAAAATTTGTTTAATTTTATGTTAAATTTATATTAGCTATTAAAAACATCGATTTATTATTTGGTGTTTCTCTCTGAGCAAGCTATTTGCGTTTCTTATATTATTTGTAATATTGTCATAATTAATCAGTTGTTTGTTATTGTGGCGTTTATGTTTTCTACATTGTCTATCTACATTGTCTAAGTTTACCAAAGTATGACATGCCGTAGACCGTACGATATTTTTCATGACCATATCACAAAAATTATCGTACACTTACATATTTATTAACGAAAAATAACTAAACTCAATTATTGTAAAGTTATTTATAAATTATTGTTAAATTAACAAAATACTAAAGAATCCAGAGTTTAATACAGTGTCCTGCATCGTAGACCGTACGATATTGTATCAGAATATGACACAATAATTTTCGCACTTTTATTGCAAATTTTTACTAATTGGAACTATTAGCGATTTGAAAGTTGGTCAGTAGCAATAAACAAAAGTGACGTATTCTGATATAGTAATTTTTTACAATTGATATATGATTAAAATATACAATTTTTTGATCTATCAATTCGTGCTCATGAGACGGTATAGAGGTAATCAATTCCTCTTTTCACATACAGTAAGACCCCGCTTAATGCTGTTTCGGTTTAGCGCTCTTTTATTTCAACCCGCACATTTAAGCAGATGTTTGAAAAAACCGAAGGAGAAGAGAAGTAATCAATAAGAGAATTTTGAAAAAACTACAATATCATGAATGTTGTAGAAACATACACCTTTCTTGGACTGATCTTTGAAAAGAGTATGGAAGAACATATATATGACTAGATTTAAGTAAGAGCGAAGACATTGAACCCTCTTTCTATATGAATGAAATAGTGATAGAAATAGTGGAATTAGCGAAACAAACCGGTTTAGAGGAGGTGAAAGTGGAAGACGTCAAAGAAATAGTTCAAGAAACAGCAGATAGTTTTTCTAATGATAAGCTCAAGGAATTAATTGAGCAAGATGAAAACAAAAATATTGTTAGTAGTGATTACGAAGAAGAGCAAAAAGAACTTTCGATATTGTTTGTGAAAAGGAATTTGACCACTACAACTGAAATTATGGACCAATATCTTGAAATTGATTAAAATTTTGGCAGGAGTTCAAAAGCAAGGCGAGGTATTTTAGATGCTTTATCCACTTATAAACAACTTCTAACAGAACACAAAAGAAAAATCGCAAACTACATTAGATGCCTTCTTGACAAAAAGGTAGAAGATTGAAAACACAGGATAGAATCTTCCCCTAACCCCAATATTTACATGTTAACATAGCCTCTTTTAGCACTATTTCGCATTACGCTCTACTTTGATGGAACGTATCCCAGGCTTTAAGCGGAGTCTTACTGTATATTTAATAGGAGGGTTCACCCTCCCTTATGCTATCCTACACTATATCTATGTCTCAATTGTTAATAAATTAATCACTTTTATTTGTGCTTCTAAATCCTTCATCTGTTATTTTTTACATAATAATATAAAAATAGAACAGTGATAGAACATTTAAAAAGTTAAGTCTGTCATTACGAAATTTCGCCAAACAACTACAAATTACTGCTAAATGCACCTATTATTTTACCAGAGATAACGTAGTCATAACTTTATTATCTCTGATTTAGAGTTTTTCTCTCAAATTAGGAGTTACGGGGAATCCCTATCGAGCCTTTTTTAAACAAAGTCTAGTCATCTTGAGACTCTCTTGTAAGATTTATATTAATAGCAAAATTTCTTGAGATAAATGATAGCAGTAAAGTTTAATAATAAAATTAAAATTTTTATTCAATAATTAAATTATTATATTTCTATTTACAAATATAAAACTCACATAACGAAGACTTAATTTTTATGCTGCTATTATTTTTTTTTTTGATTTCGCATAATAATATCAACAGTTTCTGGATCTTCCAATAGTACAAGTCGCACAAAAGCTAAATTCATTAGCAATGCTTGTCCTAAAAATTCTCGACGGTATCGTTCAGCTTCAGAAAACATTTCTCTTAAATTCTGTGGAAACTGCACATTTCGTGATATTGACGCACCGTTAAGATTTTCCAGCGTTTCCGTGTCTGTTGCAGTACTATTTTCATCAGTATAAAGACTATTTTTAATATTATAATTTATGCGCATTAACTTCAGTAAAGTTTCCTCAGTTGACACACGCTCTGTACCTACAAGGTGATTAAATATGCGAGCAGCCAAAAAGCGGCGTAAGAAATATACTTTGCCATTTGAAACTATTTTTGTCTCATTGCTCAAGACTTCGCTGTGACTCCCTCTTGACCTCAGCGCATAGCTTAACATGGCTATTATTTGTGCCTTTTGCACATTGATATTCTGTTGCTCCGCATTACCTGGGTTTGTGGTAGGTTGTGCTGTTTGAGGATTTTCAAAAATATAACAATCTGCTTCAGGAATCAATTCCATGGCACCTAAGCAACTTTGAACTAATTCACTTAAATGTAGCTTCTTTTCTGGAATCTCATAATGTTGCCAATCTGTTAGTAAGCAAGGCGATGTATTTAAAGTTGTTGGAAGCTCTAACCGGGACCATGATAAACTTGATACACTAATTCGTATAGCCACTGATGACCGTATGTTTTGTTTGACTTCATCGTTTAAATTGGGTGTTAAGAATGAACTCGCACGTAAACGTGAATTCGTTTTAACTGTGACACAAATTTAAAAATTAGTTTAATAAAATAAGCTATTTTGTAAATGATCACCTTTTTTTAATGTTGGCTCTTTTAATAAATTCTCACAAAATTTATTCACTACCTTAACTCCAAATCCATCGATATCACGAATACTTTTAAGGTCTGTAAATGGTCCATTGTGTTCTCGCCAAGCAATTATTTTACTTGCTCGGGCTGTTGATATTTTGTAGCTATTCAAATAATTAATATTTTAATTAAGTCACATTTTTATTTTATTGATAAATACCTTGTAAACTCCTTTGGTGTTAGGCTATTTAATTTGTTCAATATATTATTAGTTTCGTCGTTTGTAAAACTTAATTCAACTTTGTCCACTTTCGTAATAAAATTATTTTCTGGTTCTTGGAAAGTAGTGTTTGTACTTATGGTCATCGGTCTTATTGAACGTACTTGTTTATTTAAGTAATTTAACAAAATTCTGTACATTTTAGCCACAAGTGGAATATTAAAAACAAAATATTTCATTTATGAAGAAATAAACAAAAACCAGCTGATTGTCACAGGGATGTTATTACTTGTGTCATGTGCTGCCTGTGATCGGCAATATGAACCGATGAGTTATGCTACTATCAACTAAGTTATGTGTTACATAGGTTTATATGATTATTACATACGCATATGCTTCAATATTAACAAAAATTGTTAACAGATATATAATATTGTTTTAATTACTTTGTATAAAACATATATAAATTATTGATAGAATAACTTAAATATATAATATATATGTATTGCCATATAATGAAGTCTTCACTTAACATGACCAGATATTATAAGTTTGTTATATAGCTGTCAGAACAGTATATTGGCTTAGAAATTAAGATAAATAAAATGTTTAAGGTTCATGGAGTCTATATACTCTTATAATCTTCGTTACTTATCTCGAAACTGTAAAATAGTTAATCATTTTTTAAGATTGTCCATTTCATTTGTCTTCAGTCGTAATATTGTCAACCAAAACGGAATCTTGAAGTTAAATATCGTCTTTTTGGGTTTTGTTTGGAATTTTGTATAAATTTATATATATCAAGGAAAAATAAAACAAAAAATTTTCAAATAAATTTATGTAGTGAGAAAAAGCGAGAGCAACCAAATTAATTTATTCTAAATAACTATTATATGAGTACATGATTAATATATGATTTTATATATTTCAAGCAAAAATAAAGCTAATAGTGTTACTCAAAGTTACTTCGAGTAGCTCGTGGAACAGACCTAATATAAACAAGACAACAAGTCAAAACATGAAGTTTGGAAGAGCTGATTTCACTGTCGCTAATTGATTCTATTAAAATCTGCAATTTTCATTTATTTACTACGACCGTGTGCGAGTTCGAGTAAATTGATAGTAAATTGAGGGAAATACTAAATTATATTGGTATGGCAACGAATGTTGGTATTTACCAGAATTTCGAGTAGGGTAAATTAGATAAAAATTAGGTAAATTAGGTGTTACCATTGTGAAAATTTTATAATATGATTAAATAAATAAATAAATTTGAAACATTTTAATTAAAAATAATAAATGCAATAAATAAATATTTACATAAATGCAGTGCAAAAAACCCCTAGGAAATTTCAATTTACTTAATCTCAATTTACTCGACGGCGCTCTACTAATCTACATTACACATAATTGTTATGGAATACGATGGCAACCCTGTTTCCATATGAGCTAACACAAATTGTTCGACTTTTTTTGCTTTCAATTCATTGCGAGTTTTGTTTTAAGTAAAATTGGTTGTATACGGAATGCACAAACACTGAAAAAATTAAACGTAAACAAATTTATTTAATTTATAAATTTAATGTAGCACACGACAAAAGTTAATTTGAATTGGAAATAAAAAGTGAAAAAAAGTCATTTCATTTGAATAATATTCGCATGCTTACATTCTCGGATGCACGTTAATGTCAAAGGTTGCTTTAGATTTTGAAACCTAAAATTAAATTAAACATGAAACCTTAAAAATATAAAATATAAAAAATATTCATTGCACTTTCATTTCAATATAAACTGACGAAGGAAATGTATAACAAGTTTCGTAATTGTTTAAACCGTGAAAAGCGTATAAAGCAACAATAACAATCTCAGCTTATTTTGTTGTTGTCTTAAAAGAAAGTGAAATTTGCTGCTGATTTTGTTTTAAGCGAAATGTGAGAAGAGCTAAAAGGAAACAATCAGAAACAATCGTTTAATAATAAAAAAAGAAAGCAAACCCAGCCAATATAAATAATTTATCGCCCACCGAATGTGGTTAACGCGTCTTCACCATTCCAAACAATTGGTGGTGGCAAAGATGCTGAACGGCTTCGAGTGCAACGCAAATAAAAATAAAAGTAAAAATATTAAATAAAATGAATTAATTTCAATAAAAATGTTAATTTGTATCTAATTTCATTGATAAGTAAGCGCTAAATGATTTTAAATTTGTGTGCTTTATCAAGTTATTGACAAAAACAACAAAAACATTAAATGATTTCTGGCTTCCTACGACAAATTAAGCTCGTGTCTCACGCCAAAATGCAAAAATTCAATTATTTGTGAAATATAAGAAGTGTGTGAACAATTTCACCTGTGTGTGTGTGTGCGTGAGTAGCTCGTGTGTGAGTTAACAAAATCATTAACATTGACGACACAAAGTAACGAAAAAGTGCTTCACTGACTTCATGTAAATTTTGCTTGAGGGAACGAGAAGCCTGTGTCGTTTCCAATGACGTGCTTATTGACTTGGATAAATAGTATTCGGCGTTTTTTAGTAAAAACTGAAAATATTTGTCAAAAATAATTTTATTATAACTAATCCAAATATTGCATTTTATGATAACATCTAGTGTCTATTTTTTTATGACTTTCTAACCGTATTATTTGCTGACAGTAGAGGTTGGAAACAATCGTTTGGTTTGCCATTCGCTCATAATAGGTAGTATCCCTTTAAACCCATCGAAAACACAGCATAACCTTTTTTATCGTCACACTCGGCTTTCTCAGTCGTTCCAAAGATCATATTTTTTTACCTAATTTTGTTTTTATATCACGCATTGACTGGATTACTGTTTATCACTTAATCAGATTAAACAATAACTGACCTCAGATATGCATACCTTCCGAGGAGCCTGTAACAATTCTGAGATTCAATAACACGGTGTTGGTAAGCCTGTCAGTTTTTATAAATAGTTTTAGGGATCTATCCTTTATGTGTTTTTGTGATCGAACCAATCTTGAGGTCCCTGAGTATGTCATTCTACTCGACCTGCTTTTCATCAATTGTAACCATACGCTCTTAAATCAATGGGTTCTTCAAATTTTCTGCACTCAACACCCAAATATCGTTATGTTTTTTGTAATTATCCTTGTATAAAAGGTTATTATTATTTTGTGTTCCGTCTTCCGATCATTGGTAATATTTTACCTCCTCATTTCATATGTTTTATACATAATTTTATCAACTTTTCAGTGATTGATTGTACAGAGCAAGTAGCATCCGCTACATCCAAATTTCGAAAACAAACAGAAAGACTGCGTTTTTTAGTATTCCTCTAGAATTAGGTACATTGTGACACACCTTCACTATAAACGATCAATGTTTTCCATATGCCTTTTGGCATATACCTATTATCGTAATAAAATTTAAACATTATAACTTATTGTCAACCCAAAAAAAAATTTCTTTTGAATTTCAAAATTTCCCAACTATTATCACCCCTTCTCTTCTCTATAGAAATTTTTTTTTTTTTTTTGTATGACTTAGAAATCTGAATCACTGATAAAATTATAAAATTTAATTTTTTTTAAATCTTTCATCTCAATTTAGTTAACAATAACTTTAAACTCAAATTACCCAACTTAATAAAATGTTCACCAATAATTAGATACCTAAACTGTCGGATATCAAACAGAAAAAAAATTGACGATGAACGTCCTAGTCAAGTAAATAGAGAAACCCTGAGTACCCCTCTCCCCAACTGAATATAATTTTTGAGATACATTTAGTCTTCGAAGTTATATTATTGAAAAATATATTGTCTAATTATTTGATACCATATGTATATATTAGGATCAATTGTCTTCAAATTTCTAGTTGTTGTATTTAACTAGGGAACATCTTAAATAATTAAATGACGAAGTTAAAGAAATCTGAATTGATTTTAATTTATCGCTAAAAAGAATAAGGCAGTTATAAATAAAAGAAATCCCAAAATGTTCAGTAGATACAAAGATAAAGCCTAAGCCATATGGAACCAATCCTTGTAAATGTGGTGTATAACGAAGAATTTGTTTACACCGGCATATCTTTGATTAATTATAACTTAACGTGACAAACGTTCGGCTAACAACTCTTATAAACACATTCGCTTAAGACTTTTGCTACAATTGTCAGCGTTTTCCAGCACCTTTACTCGATCTTTAATCAGGTGTTCATGTTTTTTATTCACCAAATTTCAGCGTTCAGCATCTTTGGTTATCATACGAACTCAACAAAACCACTTTTCAATGATCTATTTTTATATTATACCATATAAAACTGTAGAGTCTCCATATTGCTAATCAAAGCTTCATGTTTCAGAATAGGCTTTTGTTTCTAAAACTTTTCCCTTATCGACATTCGAAATTCTTCTTGATCCACCTTTGGAAATTCATCAACACTTGCGTATTGTGAATTTTTTTAAAGCAAAAATGCTTCAGATATATAAGAGATAATCTAGACTCAAAGATTTATATATTGCTAAGAAATAGAAAAATATATTTCAAAAATCATTAGAAACTTATTAGTGCATTAATCAAGCAGTCCTCATAAATAATATATATATGTATAAAATATATATACATATGTATAAAATATATATGTATAAAATATATATATGTATGAGGATATGTATATATATATGTTATATACAGAGTAAATTGAATTGTTTAAAAATAATAGACTTTATAATACTACATTATTGTCATTTCATACTCTATCTATTATAGCCGTAATCTAACCAAAAAAGGAACCAAATGTAATTTTAAGCAAATAAAAAGGACTAATATTGAAGTCTGCATATATATAAAAATTTAAAAAAAATGAGTTTATCCACGACACTTACTTTAAGTCCAGTTTCATCTACGGAAAATTTACAACAAACTCAATTTTACCAAACCCCCAGTAAAAATAGCGGTGTTTTTTATAATTTTACACGTGAGACAATTGATGAAAAAGATAATGATTTCTTATATAATCCCAGTACTCTCAACAATTCATATATGCTATTACCAACAGAGGATACACAACTGCTGGAAAAGGCTCCAAATCCAAACACAGTTTCAATATCATTGAGTAATAAAAGTGGCAACTACAGCAGCACATTAAAAACTAAATCTACGATAATTAAACAAGATAGCTCTAATGGACGCATCGCCACCAGCCTAACAGATAGTGATAGCGATAGTAGCATTGTATCGGGTAGAGTCTGTTGTCCAACATCAGTTGTGGATGCAGAAGAGGAACAAGAGGCGTTTCTAATAGATGGACCAAGTCCCTCAACTAACACACCCACTCGTCGCAGTTTAAGTAAAAAGCGAAATACGAGCTGTTACCGAATGAATGCGTTCCTCTGTCGTACTTGGTACTTAAATTATATCGTACCGCTCTCGATATTATTGGCACTTATGTTTGTTGCCTATTTAACACGCGACTATGCGAAACGGTTGCTTTATTGGATCGAAACTCAAAACCCGTGGGTGATATTCGCGTTATTTATAGTGTTATTTATTGTTGTAAGTTTTCCAATTGTCGTCGGTTATTTCGTTTTAATGATAACGGCGGGATATTTATTCGGATTTCTTAAGGGATTTCTAACTGTGATACTGGGTGCAAATTTGGGCATTGCAATTGCGCACTTAACCATTCGAAGTTTTAGGCATCGGATACCAATGCATAAGTAAGTATTAAAGAACTATATCAAGTACATGTATAAGTATATGTATATTTACTGTATAAAAAAACTAAATCTTAATTAAGTAATGCTATGCAAAATTAAAAAAAAAAATAATTACCTAATTATAATATTTAAAATAGTGTTCTCACAAGCTAATTAGTCTATTTTTTGTGATTGTTAAAAATTAAAAATAAAAAAAAACAACGAATTATTTGTACAATAATTTTTATTTAATCGATATTTCGACTTCAATCTAAAGTCATTATCGTTTTCATTCCTATTTTTTTTTTACTATAATGAAAAAGTGACCAATTATTCTGTGAGAACACTATTTTAAAAACTGCTTGGTCATAAAATAATATGTTAAATATCTTATCTATAATATAGGAAAGTGGTTTATAATACATTTTGGACTTCTCGTTGTCATAATTAATGAGCAAATTAATCCAGCCATTAAGTAATCCGAAATCAATTTAATTTTACAACTACATATATTATTTGGTATAAAACAAAGCCAAAAATAGTTTCAATCTTTTAAATGTATATATATATGCCAATTTGAGAAAGATACTTCCTCTAAATATTCTAAAATAATAATAATAATAATAGTAAGATAAGCGAAACTACTCATACCAGACAAATAATGAAGAACATAAAGTGTAAAAAATGTACATTTACATTTATTTTTAATTAAGAAAATTAAATTAAAAAATAATTTTATTTAAAAAAAAGATTTCATTCCAACAAAATAGGCGTTTGTAGTTTGATATATAAGGAGGAACTGTCTTCCGGGAGTTAGTCCCCCTCATATATTAATATAGTATGTTAATTATACTTGTCTTCGGGCACATAATAGAGACCCTTTTTGGTAAGCCGCTACCAGTGTTTTATATATGGCACAGAATAAATTACTGGCTACTCGGGGAGGTATGCAGATGTGAGGTCAGTTATTGCTTAGTCTGATGAGGTGATAAACAATAATCCAGTCAAGTCGTAGAGGGAGCTTATGAAGAAACCTCGCAGTTAATAAAGAGTTAAAGTGTACTGACTCAACTAGCCTCAACATAATAATTTAATATAATTTAAATATTACTTCAGCTCTAAGTAATTGTAAATAATTGTGATGACAATGATGATAAATAAAAATAACTTTTTTAAGGTTAATGTAGATCTATGGCGTAACTAAGAAGCTCTTCATGGAACAAAAATTACGTGTTTTGTATCGTAACTCCAAAAAAAAAGTGATAATTAAAAAAGTATCATATTGTATGAAGATTTGGTATGAAGCCCAATTCTTGAAACTTGTGTAATTGATGTTTAAAAAAGATTTTTAATAAATACGTGACTGTCTTGCTATTCTGTTTTTTGTGTAATTACATAAATAAAAACATGTGTTCAACACTTTAAATTATAATTTTACAATTAGTTTTACGCAAATTTCCTTCAACGCAAATTAATTTAAAAAATTTAACACATTCAATTTAAAAAATGGGACATATGTGCGAATTTTAGCGTTCCCCAAGTGAATGCGGGCAGTAGCGAATTCTTAATAATAGGTTAAAAGGTCTCGTTGGGATATATTTATATATTCAATATTAATTAGTTAAAGAATAACATAAATATGTGCCATATATAATATATATATTAGGGTGCCATTAAGGTATATGGGCAATTTTTTTTTCGTAAAATCGGTTGACGGCACCCCCCAGATCGGTTCATTTTACTAAAAAAATAATCTGTGTAAAATTTTAGTTCAATTGGATAAGTGGAAATGGTGCCCCAAGAGCCTCATTGATTGCTTATATCTCCGACATATTTAATTTTACATAAAAACTGTCTTCCTAAAAGTTATAGATCTATTAAAAATAAACAATTCACTCATACAAAGTT